TCATTTTAACATCAAAAATCTGCATTTTTACAATTGTTAATTCATTCTTCTACATTGTAATTATATTTAAACCAGCCAAGGATCGCTATGTTACAGATATTTGCTGTTATTTTCACAGTTACTTCAATTTTTGTAGCACCCTTGCTAACGTTTTTTACCTTTTTTGTTTTTATGGGATCAGTTTTTTTTTTGTTTTTTTTTTTTACAGTGTATAATAGATCCCGTGATGTTCAAAGTTGGGACGACAACAACCAGAATCAGTCTTTAGATTGGGACACCTTGAGTGGATGTAAAACTGATGTGGTTGCAGTTTTTAACAGAACCCAAATGTGGGTTTTTTTAGACTTGTGTCTATCTGCTGTACTCACGAGGCTCAGAAATGACCTCTGTGTTCGTCAAGAGCCTGTAACTCTGAAAATGTTCATAGTATGAAGGTTAAACTTTGCATGGCTTCATTAAATATACTCAAGTTATTGCAGATTCATTCAAAAAAATCAGCTTCTGTGGGAACTTTTTGTTCACATCTGGCTGATTTTGGGAGTGAAAGAAGCTGTTTTCCTGTTTTCCGCCCAAGTGTTGCTCGGCATTTTAACGCCGGAGCTCAAACAGCGGGAAATAAACCCGCAGCCTGGAAAACAACAACACAACGGGGATGTTTTCGGACCATGACGAGGATTTTAAGGAGGAGGAGCGTTGACCTGTTCATGCTGGTACCCATGTGTGCACCGGTCCTCATCGATCAAATGTCATCTTTTACTCCCCGTTTGGCCTCCCTTGTCCTCCCGTTATTGATGTGACTGGTCGGCTCTGACATGAACTGAAGACATTTTTTTTTTCCTCGTATGTCTTTGGATGGTTTCTTCATTCATTACAATACAATACATTTTTTTTATTTCAAAGTTGTTCCAGAGAGGGGATGCACACTTTTTTTTTTTGCATCTTTAGAGCGATAAATGATGTTTTTTCCTCACATGATTTCACATGTGAAAGACTTTAGAAGCTTCCCTTCTTGTTATAACAAGAGCAGCACTTTATTTTCTGTCATCTTGACTAAGTTGTAATTTTCTTGAGGTATCTCCTTCATATTAATGATAATAATAATAATGATAATAATAGCTGTCGTGTTCAACAATACTTTACCTTCGCCGTGGAGCTCTTGAGAAGAAATGCGGCCCTGGAGGAGTCGGAGCAGAACTGGATTTACTCACCTTTGTTATCTTGCATCGTGCCTAGTTTCATGTAGCATCACATGTTCACACAGTAGAGATTTTGAGATGTAAAGTAAGTGTTTTGGATGTTCCCAGAGTCTTTGGTTGGCCACATACCTCAATAAAACATCTTTACGAAACACTCTCTGCTCATGTCGTGGATGCAGCACATTGTCTGGCTTTGGGTGGTCTTCTTTTTTTTTAATGCTTCTGACCCAGAGGCGTCGTGTTTTCTCCTGATATCTCACCTGCAGGGAATTTTTCTTCAGCTATAGCACAAACATGAACTTGGACTCAAGGATGAAGTGATTAGACGATGAGCTGCAATGTAACGGGAGAAATTNCAGGGTGTCCCCTGCCTTCACCCTGAGTCAGCTGGGATAGACTCCAGCCCCCCGTGACCCTAGTGAGGATTAAGCGGTGTATAGATGATAGATGGATGGATGGATAAATAAAGCCTACATTTATCCCCCAAAAAATGATATTAGGGCTGTCAAAATCAAAAGTGTATACTTCTCCTTTTTCAGACTTAATGTTATGATTTGATTATTCTTTTATGCTCTTTTTAAAATGATTTTCTTTTGTTTGAAGATTTTTTTCCCCTTTCATTTGCTCAAAATAAATTCAATTCATTCGTTCATTCCAAAGAAAATGAACGTGTTAATGTAAAGAGATGAATCTGTGGAGTTAACACATTACTTTTTAACACATTAATGCACGAACAACAAAGTTATTACTCATGAGGTATTGAAAATTCAAATTGGGGGTTCACGAACACAAACTTGTGTTATCTTTGGTGTCAAAAAGTTTGAGAACCTCTGTCATAAATAACAGCATGCAGAATAAGACAAGTGACATTTCAAATAAGGCTTAAGAACATTTATTCAAAGACAGGAATGTGTGACGAATCATAGTCTATTAAATATGTTTTAGTCATGACTGTATTTTTGCTCATTTAAATACAGTAGTTTGGTGTAATTTAACATTCTAATGTTGGAAAAGGATCAATTACAGTTTAGATGTGGATATTATTCCTAGTTTGGGCCTGGTTTTTTTTGGTTTAAGACGGACATGAATACTTTTTTCTGTGACTTTACTGGTTAGTATGTGTAATTTAACATAAATCCGTAAAACAACAGTAGATTGTTATAAACATTACAGCTGCTTAGTTTATTTTTTACTGTGTACCTGGTCAGATCATTCAAACTGGAGTTCCTACATCTGTGTTTTATGTTCAGTTTAAAGATGCTTCACACTGACTCTATCGTTTATAAAGTAGTCTGAAAACCTTTCATCCTTCAAAAAATGTCCAGAATAAATGCTAAAAAAAAATAATTTCAGTTTGTTTTTTTGGGAAAAATCAACTGTAAGTGATGTGACTAATGAGGCCTCGCATAAATTATGTTCAGTTTCTGGCATTGAACCGGCGACATTAACTGCTGGCAAAGACGTGGATATTAGTCATTTTATGCAAAACTGAAACTCCCTCCTTCAAGATGGGCCCATTTCTGACTGCAGAAATCATCTCTGACAGGTAGAAGTGCTCCTATAGCATACAGAGCAGCTCATTATTCTGTCTTTTTTCCAGATTTGTGTGGGGAAGCGGGAGGACGGCGAAGTGTTTCTGAAGCTGAGCAGCGGCAAGAAGAGAGGCCTGGTGCCGGCCGATTCCATAGAGGAGATCTGAGTCTTGTGTTCCGCCCCAGAGGATGCAACACATCTTCCAAAAAAAAAGAAAATTTGAAAAAAACCACCACCAAACTTCTCCCTCCCTGATGTGGAATCATACAAATGCACGGTTTCCAGTCGAATAGGTTGTTTCATTGAGTGTACAGTCTTGCTTTTTTAGGAAGAAACTGGTCCTCAGCGGTCCCAGTTTTGTGTTCGCAGACTCGGTAAATCAATGTTTTAGATAGACGAGAGGGTGGACTGACTTTCTCTTCTTCTTCAAAAAGAAAGACGTCCGCCAGCGTGGGGAGGAGGCCGAAATCCCGTCAGTGTCCTTCTCTCTCTCTCTTGTTTTCTACCCGCTCTGCTCACTTTCAGGGTCTCTGCCCGGAGGACTGATGTCAGCTTCGTGTAGATTCGCTGCACAACAAGAGGCACTTTGCCAAGAACAAGCACTGCCAGCTGAGGAGAGCTGCTGCCGTTCAGACCGACTGCAGAATCAGATGAAAGAGGAAAGAAAAAAGAAAAAAAAAAGCCCTCCAGCTGAGGTAGAACCGCACTTGAAATGTGAGGCTCTGGGGATCCTTTTACAGGATATTTTGTCCTTTGCCTTTTTTTCCTCCTCCTCTGTATATAATAACTATTAAAATAAGCTACAGTAAGCTTCTGGTGGAAACTTTGCTTCACACAAAGACTCGACTAATCCAACTTTTCGACTTGAACTCCCAGGGATTGCTTGAATATTTTTTTTTCCTGTTCCTCTAATGGATTATTGTAGTTCAATACATTTGGGTGTGATGTGTCTGTTTAAGATGCAGCAGTGATCGTCTGGTAGTTTGTCGTGCTGTCGCTCGTTCAGAAGAAATCCAGACGAGGAAAACCTTCAGTCAGCACCTCCGATCCGACCTCCTCAGAACCAGCAGAGTTTTTAATGTACAATACCTTCTGCATATTCAATGAAGCCATGTGAAATTTACCTGATAAGAAGCTTTATTATTTATTTTTA